CTATGTGTAGCAAGGCTGAAGGAGACTCGCTGGAAGTGGCACCTGAGATACAGTAACTGCTAAGCAAAAGCTGGGTCCTTAGAACCCACCCAACAGTCTGCTTCCATCAGGATCGCAGCTGAGAAAGCCCGGTGCGGTGGTCCTATTCCGTCACCTGGGTCACTATGAGTCCAGCACTCCTGGAAGCCACCTCACAACATGTACAAAGGGCTTCAAAAAGTTGGTGGGAAAATCCTATTATCTTCCTTTTCTTTCTTTCTTTTTCTAATCATTTATCACAATCCATACACACATCAACTGTGTAAAGCACATTTGTACATGCATTGCCCTCATCATTTCTCAAAACATTTGCTCTCCATTTAAGCCCCTGGCATCAGCTCCTCATTTTTCCCACTCCCTCCCCACAACGTCAACCAAACAACATTCCTCTTGTTCTCCCTGACCTGGCTCAAGTCTCCCTCACCCTGAAAGCTCCCCTCCCGCATGTGGGGGTTGGTTTCAGGTTAGCTTTGGTCAGTTTTCCCTCATGCTGCACCGCAGGGTGGGGGACTGCCTTGGGCTTCCCCATGGGCAGTTAGGGTGCTCAGGGCGGCTGTGCTCACAGGGACTGGCTCTGAGGTCAGGGCATAGCCTGACGGCTCCCTGACAGGGCCGAGGGGCGGGGCAGGAGGGATCTGGTGACTGCTTGACCAGAAGATTGCTGGGCAGGAGAGACGGATTTTCTGGTTAGATTAGGTAATTTTCAGCCCTTGACAAAAACGCATGCATGCACACAGCCAGGCCTCTCAGGGATGGGAGTCTCTGGGTTCGCGTGGCTTCAGAGCTGCCGGGGACTGGGGATGGCAGTGTTATAAGAACACACTGTCCTACAGGCTGCAGGTTACTTTTCTGGGGACAAAATCCAACCCATGTGTCTGAATGGATCTTATGACACCACCGAGTTGTGACCAACTGCACTTACAGCTGTCTTTTGTTTTGTTTTGTTTAATGTACATCTAATTGTTCGTAATATGCACTACATACAATGTTAAAATCTATCAGCAAGTTTATATGTAAAGTTCCCAAACTCAAATACACAGAGAGATGCTGTTAATAAAAGACAACAACCTTGAAAACGAAAATAATAATAATAATAATAATAATAATAATAATAATAATAATAATAATAAAAGAGGCATTTGACTTCTGTTGGAACCGACTTACAATGAGGGAGGTTGTAACGGAACCCCACTGGAAGTGGGGACTACATACATCTATGTAAATGCACAGAAAAAACGTTCTTGCAAGTGTATCTGAGAAAGTGAGTGCACTGGGGTAGATGAGAGAGGGGGTTTCATTTTCTAATGCTTAACCCAGCCTCATAATGTTTAAGAGAGCCCTAGTGGCGTCCTGGTTACCCGTTGGGCTGCTAGGTTGGCAGTTTGAAACCACCAGCTGCTCCGAGGGAGAAAGACGAGGCTGTATGGCCCCATAAAGAGTTAGTCTGGGAAACCCTCAGGGGCAGTTCTACCCTGTCCTACAGGGTCGCTGAGTCAGCATTGACTTGATGGCAATGCGTTTGGGTTTGGGTTTGGTATGAAACTTAACCCAGAATGTATTCGTGCATAACTGGCATAATTCATAACTAATAACAGTAATCCACCAAAGTGAAAAGAATTGGGGTACAGACTTGAGAAGATGCCCCATTCATCTCCGCTCTGGGAAGCCTCCGGAGAAGAGGGCACTGCAGTGTCTTGGGGTCCCGGGGGCTCTGAATATGTAGGTATGTGAGGTCTCAGAGCCCCAGAGGGTAACAGGATGGGTGTTGGGAGACTGGGGAGCTGGACTGGTAAAGATGCACTCCCATGTGGGTGGGGGGTAGGGGGGAGATAAGGCAACTGTAAGGAGTTTGGTAGCACGAAGGCTAAAATGCTCAGCTGCTAGCTGAAAGGTTGGCGGTTTGAATCCACCAGCTACCACGGCAGAAAGAAGCGGCAGTCTGCTCCTGTGAAGACTTGTAGCTTTGGAAATCCTCTGGGGGCAGTTCTTCTCTGCCCTAGAGTGTCATCATACGAGCCCTGGTGTCGCAGTGGGTTACTCAGTGGGCTGCTAACCTCAAGGTCAGCAGTTCAAAACCACCAGCCGTTCTGAGGGAGAAAGATAAAGCTTTCTACTCCCGTAAAGAGTGACCATCTGGGAAACCCACAAGGACACCTCTGGTCTGCCCTGTAGAGCCACTGTGAGTCAGAACTGACTCAATAGCAGTGTGTTTTGGGTTTGTATAGGGTCCTGATGAGTCAACCCATCCAGCTGCTCTGCTGGAGAAAGGCTTGGCGGCCTGCTCCCAGGAGATGGCAGCCTCGAGAACCCTCTGGGCAGTTTGACTCAGTCGCCTGGGTTTGCTATCATTGTCGACTGCATGTGACCTAATCAGAAGAGCAACGCTTGTGCACCCAGGCAAGCTCTCGGCACCCATCAAAACCCAACCCGTTGATGCTGATTCCTGGTGAGCCCACGTGTGCAGAGCAGCACTGTGCGCTGGAGGGTGTTCAAGGCCCGGAACTGTGGGAAGCAGGTTGCCAGACCTATCTTCCGAGGGGCTTCTGGGGGTTGGGTTTGAACCGCCAACCTTTCAGCGTACAAGCTGTGAGCTCTGGGAGCCACCAGTCAGGGATTGGTTTATGTGCTTGTTTTCTGTGGGGAAGCAGCACTTTCCGGCAGCCCTGTGTGTGTCCTCTCAGGGAAGAGGATGACTCCCAGGCTTGCTCCCTCCTTAAAGAGCCGAGCTGGGTTATGGAGATATTCTGGAACCTTGTAGGGAAAGGACCTGAGGCAGCCAGTCTCCCCCTTGTGTGCACGCTGGGATGCCTGCACACGCTAAAGCCTGCATTCATCCCCAGCTGCTCCCATTCCACTAGGCTGACGCAGGCTGGCCGTCAGTGAGCCAGCGCTCCCCAGGTGAACCTACTGTGACCAGGGTCCAGAGCACGTGCCGTGGGACTGGGTGCTGACAACTGGATTGGGGAAATCCACAGCTTTCGCTCCTCCAGGGCAAGGAGCCCAGTGCTCTCTCTGTTCCTCCTCTCCAGCTTGTTGGTCTCCTTCCCAGCAGGCCTCTCACTCCTCCTCGTTTCTCCCAGGATCCCACGGGAGTGGCTGTGCCAGGGCCAAGCACAGAGGCTGCTAACTCTTGGCTCAAACACCAGGCTCCTGGTTCTGCCCGCAGGAGAGGTCACTTGCCACACCACACCTTGATTCGCAACCACCAGGTGGGCTTTAAGACCCCACCACCTCTTCCGCTTAGGCTTCCCAGAACTGCCATAGCCCAAATATGGAAATTAAGATGACTGGCCTGTTCTTTCATGTTCTTCCTAGAGTTGTTTATGCATACCCAACTACTTAGGAAATATCCACTGTGAGGAGTCTGAAGGAGCCCCGTGGCTTAGTGGTTACATGTTGGGCTAACCCCAAGGTCAGCAGTTCGAAATCACCAGCCACTCCGAGGTGGGAAAGACAAGGCTTCTTACTTCTGTAAAGAGTTATAGTCTTGAAAACCGTGGTCGTTACATAATCTGGTGTCAATTTGGGCTTGAGAGGATTAAGAGTGAAGGGGTGGAGTCTAGCCCACCCCTGTCAATCAGATCATAGCCAATGAGGACATGACCTTCTCCTGAGACTTCTGGGAATTCTTAAATTTCCTCCTTGGAGGCAAGAGACAGACTCTCTCTCTCTGCTCACTCCTTGCGAGACATCCCTGAAGAGAAGCCACATGGACCTACCTTAGTACAGCCAGAACCTTGGACCTGGAGAATCTACGTGGAGACCCCTGCCAGAGCTGAGACGCTTACAATGCCACTGGATCTACAAGACTTCCCACCCACTGGCCTGTAAGCATCTTGCATTTGGCATCATTGCATGTGTTTCGTGAGTCTGAAGAAGACTTTATAGATTGGTGTCGGGCATATGGGCTAATATCGGACTTACGGACATGATCTGGATTGGGTTGGGATGTTTTCTCAAGGTGACATTACTCATGTATATAAACCTCTTCCTTATACACGTATGCTTACGAATTTGTTTCTCTAGTCTACCCCGACTAACACAGACACCCACAGGGACAGCTCTAGCTCGTCCCGCAGGGTCGGAATGAGTGGGCATGGACCTGGTGGCAGGGAGCTTGAGCTGGGTTCTGGTGAGGAACCTTGAGCTCTCCACCTGGATGGGTGAGCGGTGAGACACTACGATGCCCATGCAGCAGCGGCCGGAAGCCTCTGAAGGCTGAGCGCTCGCTCCTGTGACGGCCTGGTCTGTTTATGGTTCAGGAGTCTAAGCTCATCATTAGGAAGGTAAATATGTTGCTTTAAAAGAAAGAAAAAAGCCCGCATACAAACAGCAACATCATAAAAACAATGGCTTATAATGGTAACAGCGAAGTCTTCACATGAGATCGCTGCGACTTTCTTCTATTCTAAAACCAGACTCACCGCCATCGAGTGCATGCTGACTCACAGGGACCCCGTAGGACAGGCTAGAGCGGCCTCTGTGGGTCCCCACGACTGTCACTCTTCTCAGGAGTAAACAGTCCCCTCTTTCTCTTCAGGAGTGGCAGGTGGTTTCAAACTGCCGACCTTGCAGTTAGTAGCCCAACATACAATCACTGGGCCACCCGGGCTCACTCTCCCTGGGTCTGGCTATGAGAAAGCTGGGCGCTTGCGTGTTATAAAGGTCGGCAGTTTGAATCAACACCACCACCTAAGGATGGGTTTGCCTGGGGAAAGAGAGACTAGGAGCATTCTGAGGAATCCTGTGAGACACAAAGAGAGATGGGGAACCCCACGCAGGCTACAGAGAGGGTGGGGAGAGGACGGGGATGCTGGGTGGTCAGGGGCTCCCAGGGCACTTCGGGGCAGGGGCCAGAGCCAGAGGTGGAGAACCAAGCGAGAGCAGGGCCCTCTGATCTGCCTCCGTCGTGGGGGGTCTCAGCCCCTGCTTCTGCCTGGTAAGACTGAAAGAGGACTTACTCTCTGTTCCTAGCACGCCAGGAAGAGAGCTCCTGGGTCTCCGGGTTTTCAGTTCCGGGGCCTTGGCGTTCTCAGGAGCATCTGGAAGAAACAGGGAGTGACCAACGTCAATTACAGCTGCCGTAGGAAGTGGGCAGTGGTGGTATTGCACACAAAATCCCCTCTCCATCCAAACCACACGCTGCCCTCCTGCCCATGACCCCTGAGCAGAGGGCGCCCGTGGCCCAGGCACCAGCTCGCCCAAAGCACCAAAGGAGTGCCAGCTCCACTGGGCTCACAGGCCAGGTGGACAGAGGGGGAACAGATGCAGGGGCACATGGACAGGCTGCCCTGCAGCCGAACGCCTCCCCTCGGCCGGAGCAGGCCCATGTGGCCAGAAATAACCCCACCTGGGCTAAATGGCAGACCAGAGAGGGCCACTCCTCTCTGCCCACTACTCCCCCGCCTTTTCCTTCACTAGGTGGCAACTGGGCTAACTGGTCTAGAGTTCTAAACCCTGCCCTGTTTGGGGAAAGGGACCAGAATAGAGGAAGAGAGCCAGGGTCCCCGCATATGGGCTCCTCAGGCTTCGTGCGGCGGAGGGGCACTGACTCCAGGTCAGGGAGTAGGCAGCTGGCACCACTCACCCCCTATGCTGAGCCCTGCGCCCACCTTGGAGACGTCTGCTGTGGGTAAGCATTCGCCGTCAAGTTGATCCGGACCCCTGGCAACCCTCAGTGTGCCAGCCTGGAACTGCGTGCCCCAGGGTTTCCAACGGCTGCTTTTTCCAGAAATGCATCCCTGGGCCTTTCTTCTGGACCCCAACCTCTTCGCACCTTTCATTTAGTGGCTAAGTAATTGTAGCACCCAGGGGCTCCTCCCTAATGGAACATTGCCTCGGTCGCCTTCTGGGCTCCCCCAAAACGTGGGGCCATCTGTGGGTTTCAACTCCTAGACCCGACAGGACAGGGTAGAACGGCCTATCAGTTTCTGAGACGAACTCTTTCTGGCCAGGGGTAGAGAGCCCCGTCCTACTACTCCAGAGGGGCCCTGCTGGGGTTATGCCCTGGGCTATGACCCAAAAGGTCAGTTCGAAACCACCAGCCGCTCCCTGGAGATAGAAGAGGTTTTCTACTCCTGTTCACGTTCCAGTCTAGTAACTCACAGGGGCCATGCTACCCTGTCCTACAAGGTCGCGATGGGTCGGAAGTGAGAGTGAGTGAACTCTCCCACTGGGCAGTGAGGTGGTTTCCAAGCTCTGACCTTTGGTGACCAGCCCATCTGAGAGGGCAAGGACATAACTCCTCAGGCCTCTGCTTGACAGTCCATTTTCCAGGCTCAGGGGAGGCACGTGGGCGATGAGAGAGAAGCCCTCCCGCTGATCTGGGGTGGCAGGAAAGCTCACTGGGCTGGGCTTGGTGGGGCCTCGGAGCTCCCAGGAGAGAAGGAGGAGGAAGTGGGGGAAGCCACCCCGGGCTGGGATAAGGAGGAGCTGGCTGAACTGCTATCGCTTTGCCCCAGCGTTTTCCCTGGCTTCCCTCTCCCCCACACCCTAACAGTCTTCGGGGACACTGTTGGGAGCCCCTTTCCTGCTCCTGAAGAGAGGAAGCCTGGAGAGGAAGGAGGAGGTGGGGCTTTCCAGTGGAGTCTTTGCCACATTGCTGGGGGGTGGGGGTGGAGGAGGACCATCACACAGTCCCCGCCTCCAGGACAGGCCGCAGGGCTGCTAAGGGACTCCTGGCCTGAGTTCTGTCCTGGAGCTTTAGGGGGCTGGGGTGGGCGTGGAGAACACAGAAGGGCTGAGGACACACCCTTCCTTGACAGGTGGACTCTCAAAACCCCCATCTGGATGCATTTCCCCTCTTGGTTCAGGTGCTCTGCTGCTAACCACACCAGCAGTCTGAACCATCAACCACTCCTGGGGAGAACCATGTGGCTTGGGGACAGTCGCAGGGTTGGAAAGTCCAGGGGTCCGAGCCAATCGCAGGGCAGGGGCTTGGGTTACATGGCCACTGTCGGAGTCTCTCTCCAGAAAGTGAACTGCTCAGGTAGATCATTCACACTGCCACGCCTGAGGCCTGTCCCAGCAGTGAGCCCTGGTGGCATAGGGATGATGCATCGGGCTGCTAATTTCAAGGCCAGCAGTTTGAAACCACCAGCTGCTCACTGGGTGAAAGACGAGGCTTTCTACTCCCGTAAAGAGTTATATTGTTGGAAACCCACAGAGGCAGCTCTACCCTGTCCTATGGGCCCCACAGTGAGTCAGAGTCCACTGGCTGGCAGTGAGGATATATACCAAGCCTCAACTCCCTTGGCTGCTAAATACAAAGTGGGAGTTTCAAGTCCCGCTAGAGGTACCTTGCAAGAAAGACCTGCCAAGCCGCATCTGAAACATGGGCCAAACTGGGGAAGGCAGTACTCCTCTGACACACAAGGTCCCAGGGAGTCAGGATTCACTCAATGACAACTGGCTTGAAACAACAGCCAGGTTCCCTTGCCAGCCTAGCACCAGTCCATGCCACAGGGACGGAGACTCCACCATGTGGGTGCTGTCCAGATGGGGCTGCAGCCCAGAGGCAGGCTGTCCTGTTAAAGGCTATGGGGACAAAGTGCCAAAGACCTCCCAAAACCAAACCCTTGTACCTACAGGAACAATTGCATGTCCATGTCAAGCAGCCCTTGCTAGCAGTAGGTGACCCTGGTGCGGGGCGGACAACACTAGGAGAGGCCTTTTTAAGCAGCACTTGGTCACAGCCTGGCTGTCACCTCCTGTAGGCAAGGGAGCCTCCCAGGGGAGGCAGGGGTCCCTCCACCCATAGCTGACACTGGCCCGCTTGTGTCCTACTTCCCGGGGAGAGGCCGCCTGGGAACCCCAGTCCTGGCATGGGCACAGTGAGGGGGCCAGGCACTCCCCAAGGAGTGCTGCGGTCTTCCTCGGGACGCCTATTTGTCAGGCTGGAGGGCTGGCGGTCTCCGAGGTAGGTGAGAAGCCCCTGTACATAGCTGCCTCCCTCTGCAGGGTGCGGACCACGTGGTCTGCGCCGGGGCCTGGTGTCAGTATTGTTCAGAAACTCCATCTCACTGCACAAGATAGAACTTCCCCTGTGGGTTTCTGAGACTAACTCTTCATGGGAGTAGAGTGCCTCATCTTTCTCCTGTGGGGCAGCTCGTGGTTTCAAACTGCTGACCTTGTAGTCAGCAATCCGACTCGAAACCACTAAGCCACTGGGCTCCTCCAGGAGCTCCGTAGGTGGATGGCTCTCCTCGTCAGCCTCTTTGAAAACCCCCCGTCTCAAGCTCTGTGTGCATGTGAGGCTGAAGTGGGGTCTGGGGTGGTGGTAGTGACATCTGGGGGCACACTGGGGTGCTAGAAGCCAGGGGCAGGAAGCCAGTCTACAAGTTCCCTCCTCTGAGACCTCCCTTCCTTGTTCCCTGCAAGAGGAAGGCTTCCGACAGTCACCGAGGACGATGTAAAGAGAGGCGTGCCCTGAGCTGTTGCAGGTCTGTTGTTCCCCTTTGTACCAGAGGGCAGTGGAGGCTATAGGAGCACAGTGGTTAAGTGCTAGACTGTCATCCGAAAGGTCGGGGGTTCAAACCCTCCATGCACCAGCGGCTCCGTGGGAAGAAAGCCCTGTGATCCGCCGCTGGCAGCTCCCCAGCCCAACCCACTGCCTCCACATCGACTCCGACTCACAGTGGCTTCCACGGTTTCGAGGCTGCACATTTTTATGGGGAGAGAGGCCCTCATTGTCCTCCCAAGGAGCGGCTGGTGGGCTGGAACTGCTGACCTTGTGGTTAGCAGCCTGACGCTTACCAGCGACACCAGCGCTCCTTCCAGTAGAGTGACTGCCTAGGATGCCCCCAGGGGTTGCTTTACTCTGCCTGTCACCTGGGGTCCCAGGAGTCAGACGGGACTCAGAGTCGCAGGTCGTCTGCCTTCCTTGCCTTTAACACTCCCCTGGCTCCTGGCTCCTGGTGAGTTCTGGACTGTGTGCTTCCAGAAGGAGGCCAGGGAGGAGCCCTGCTGCTTTCCTACTGATCGGCACAGAACGAGAGGCCAGTTGCCCTGGGTCCCGAGGAGAGGAGGCCAGGGCTCTCAGCCGGGATGGTGCAGGGATTTGTGCCCAGGCAGGGCCCCAGTCAGGATCCAGGGGCAGGGCCCTCCTTTGGGCTGGGTCAGCAGCCAGCCTGGGATCAAGAGCAGATAACTTCAGCTGCCTTGTGTTTCGGTCTCCTTTATCTGTACAAGGGGGCTGGCCTGCATGCCCTCCTCCTCCTGGTGTGAGGCCCAATGGAGCCGAGAGGCGGGCCGCAGGAAAGGGGTCATTTGTCTAAAAGACCACTCACCCCCACTGACAACCACAGGACCACTTCTGAATCCTCTTTAAAGTTTGGGACCCCCACAAGGGCCCGAGCAGCTTGTTTCTGGGGTCTGCTCTGCCCCGGGCGCTGGGCCCTCTGATCTCTAATGAGTGTGGGGCTTTGCTTTGACAAGTGGCCTTGCATCTTCTCTTCCCACCTGGCAGGAGGAAAGGGGCTCACGTTCCCTTTCCAGTCAGCACCTCCCAGAAGGACGGGCTGGGACTTGGTGTCCCCCTTCCCTGTGGAGCCCAGTCCCCTGCCATGGGCCGCCGTGAGAACCGCAGCAAGGAGTGGGCTGGACGCTTAATCAAAACCAGCTCTGTGCTCACATGGCTGCCTGGGGGATAAAAATAATACTAATAAAGTTTAAGAGCAGCCTGTGTTTTCTGTCTATTTTAATTATTTTTGTGTTGAAATGGAAGTCCACTTCTTGGTCTGGGCCCCAGGGCTGGAGCCCTTTGTGGGCCTGGCTGGGCTTCCAGAGAAGCAATGGGGCAGGAAGATGGAGGTGTGGGGATGTGGGGGGCCCAACAGAGCGAGGGAAAACGAGCCCTTATATGGACATCGCCTCACCAGCTCCAGGCCTGGGCAAGCTCTGTGCTTAAGCCCTCAAGGCAGCTCTGCCCCAGGCGCTCACCCCAGGCAGGGAGGCTGCTGGGTAGGCCTCTCCCTCTGCATGCGCACAGGCCCGTGCGTGAGAGGTTGGTTCCTAGTCAAGGAGCTAAGCTCCTTTCTGGCTCTGCCCTTTAGTACCCGTGACTCCTGGAGGGGCGGGGGGAGTTCCTGAGCTTTTCAGAGAATGAACCCACTCAACAGAAGAGGAGGGGCGAATGAGACAAGAGGAGCTGAAGTTATGTTAAATGCCTGCATTGGGTTGAACCAAATGCACTTGCTAATAGCCAAGTGTTCCTGATTTACCAAAATGCAATTGTAGTTCAACTAATACACGCCAGCCTCCTGTCACGATGCAGAGACCATGTACAGGTGTGAGTGGGCTGAGGCACCTGGCAAGGCTGAGGGCAACAAAGGAAGGGTGGGTGGAAATCTGCTCAGAGACACCAGAGCTGCCCGGCCACAGTGGCCGCAGACTGTCGCTAGGAGCCACAGCTTGGGTTTGAAGCCACACTTAGCTAGTTAGCAGCTCTGTGAGCCAAGGCAAGGGGCTCCATGCCTGCTTATCAGGCCTTTGTTACTCTCTCCCCTAAAACCTGCCGGCCGAAGTCCCCAGTGCCCTCCACATGGCCAAACCCACAGCCAAGGCCCAGGCTCATCTTAGCCTACGCGGCCAGACATCCTACACAAAGCTATCTCCATAGGGCTCCTGGATCTCTTTCATTTCTTCATTTCATTTCTTCCAAATGTCCTTCACAGACCCTGTTCAGCTCCTGCCTCTCAGGGTTGGAGTACCCCCACTCCCCCTCCTCTGGTCCATCCACATCCACTCCTCGGGTCCTCGTTCAGCCCCAGGCATCCGATGGGTTCTACAACGCTGATGGTTCCCTGTATCTCCCACTCCCTCCTCAACTCAGTAGGCAGATGCCATCCACTCGGTTCCAACTCAGGACAGAAGGACCCACTGCCTGGTCCCCAGCCATCCTCACAATTGCTGTGTGAGCCCATTACTGCACCCAGTGTCAATCCATCTCTTTTGGGCTCCTCCTCTTTTTCATGGGTCCCCCTCCTCCACTAGAGGTGATGTCCGTTTCCAGGGACTGGCCCTTCCCCCTGACTTGCCAGAGTACGACAGCTGTCTGCCTGCCTGGGATGTGGAAGGGGCGGATTCCATTTCGCAGGCACACACTTCGATGGCGCCCACCTCTTGCATTCTAATTTCAGTAAGTGGCCCCACCATTGATCTGCCCACCCCCCTACCCAGGTTAATTTAAAAAAAAATTAATTCAGTAGCAAATTCTATCAGCTGTATTATCAAGACGTGTTAGCGTATTATGAAACTGATCCTTCCCACCCATCTCTTCCCCGTCCACCAAGTCTGCGTCTCCGCCGTCTTCGGCCTAGGATACTGCAGAAGCCACCTGGCCGGCTCTCTTATTCACACAGCTAACCGACGCAAAACAACACAACCAAACAACTCGCTGCCGTTGAGGCTGATCCTGACTTAGGGCACCCCTTGGGGCTTTCCAGGCCCTACATCTTTACGGGCGCAGGAAAGACTCATCTCTGTCCCTTGGAATGGCGGCTGGGTTCCCATTGCTGGCCTTGGGGCTCGCAGCCTCACCCACCAGTCAGCTCCTCAGCCTGCCCCCTGGCTCCTCACACGGGGCACAGTGTCGGGCCTCAGTCCTATGCAACCGCCTCACCTAGCACTCTGCCCCGGCACACAGCACCCACCACCCTGACCTCCTTACTCTCCCGCGTGCTCCTCCAGCCGTCTCAGGGCAGGGCTCTGCGATGTGCTGGCTCTTCCTTCTGCTGCTCCGTCCTCCACCTCCACAGGCAGGTCTCCTCAAGGGTCCTTCCTGAGCTCGGTCTAAAGCCACTGCTCTCTAAATCCCTCCCCCATCCGTCCGCGTCATTGACGCCGTAGCCTGCCACATGACGTCCCCCGGGGCCTCAGGGCTCCTCTGTCGGTCTGTGCGATCTCCTCCTCTGCCCACTAGAACAGACGGCCCCTGAAGGCAGACGCCTTTACTTCACCTCCTGCCTTTGACCTCGGCCCCAGAGCAGTGCCTGACGTGAGGGGAGGGAGAAACGTGCTCAAAAACAAAGGAGTGAATGCATCTTGGAATGGGTGCCCTCGGGAACATCGCCTCCTACAATGAACATGACCCCCGGGGGCACTGGCAGCAGTGGGCTCCCTCGGCCAAGGCCAAGGCTGATGAGGCAGCCGGTGGTCTGACACCACGATGTAACCCCCTGATGTGAGCATGATCAAGGATTCCCGACCCCCCACCCCCCCACCCCCGCCTTATTTTTAAAGTTGGGAGGACACAACAGTGTGAGTAGGGAGAGGGGTGGGGTGTCTTGGAGCCGAGTAGCTAGCTGGCCACAGCAGGGTGGTCTTCTCGTTAAGATGCTTGGAGCAGGCTGATGGAGTGACTGTGGACAGTTCCAGCCCTGCTCCGGGGGCAGAGGGAAGCCCGCCAGGCAGTCACCATGCCAGGCCATTCCCTCCCCTAGTGGACAGGGACCTGGTTTCCCAGGCAGGTAGCTACAGAAGGACAGCAGTCTGAAGAACCCCACCCCCAAATGGCGGAGCTTGGAAATTCCATAATGGCTCTTCCTCGGGGCCAGAAGTTCTCGGTGTATTTCAATTCCTGGACCCCTCTGAGAAGAAGAGGCTCTAGCACACCCCACCCCCACCCCACACAGTGTTTCCCCATCACTGCAGAGGGTGCCGACACCCCCTGGGCGCTCTCGGGTCAGTGGGGCAGCCTTAGGGAGTAAGGAGAGCAGAGAGGATGGGCACCAGCGCCGCTCAGTGGACCACAGGAGGTTGAACTGGTGCTGCAGGGCAGCCGGGGCAGTTAGCACCATCATTCTTTCGTGTTTGCCAGGAGGTACCTCTCCAGGGAGAAAGAAAGCGAAATGTGACAAGAAGTCCCCCGGCCATGCAGGACACTAACGCATCCCCAGGTGTAGTAACAGGGAAAAGAGGGGGTGACGGTGGACAGGCTGCCCCCCTTTTCCCTCCAGAACAGACAAAACCACCTGCAACCTGGTGAACCCTGGAGGGGTGGCCCATCATCCCTGCGGGGCCTCTCTTCCTCCCTCAGAATGTGTAGCCTGGGGCCAAGCCCCGCAAAGGCCTCTGGGAAGGGGGATCAATAACAAATGGTCATGAAGGTTCTTCGGGAGAGGGAGGGAACTGATCGGAAGAGGCAGAAGAAAACAAACCAAAAAGCCCCTTAAGTTTCCCAAGATTTTAAAAAGAGGGGGATAAAAAGAATCCGCAAAGGTTTTCTGCAGGGGGAAGGACATTTCATTTTGAAATAAAGTTGGGCTTTGAAGACAGCTGCTGTTTCTCAGAAAGGTGCTGACATTTTGCCGATAAGGAGAGGGAATCGTTCCCGCCTCTAGTCAGCCCTGGAACAGAGCTCAAGAAGGTGGGAGCGCACGCGCCACACAGACACACAGACAGCCGCATTAGCAGGCCCTGCGTCCTGCAATCAGCAGGGCTCTCAGGAGTGGCGGGCCTGTGAGGACCAGGCTGTGCACGGGGTCTGGGCCCCAGACACACGATTCATTGTGGCTGTTGTTTTTGACAAACAAGTCGGACTCTAACAGGCAGGTGGGAATGTGTACATGCATGCATGGGGTGGGGTGGGGTGGGGCGGCGACAGCTCAAGGGAGGACTGACTGGGACAAAGGAGTACTGCCCAGCAACCTCTCAACCACAGCCTCACAGGAGTGCCTCCCGCCCCTTCTGACCCACTGTTGCAGGGGTGCCTGGCCCCCCGCCCCCACCCCCCGCCAGCACCGGGCAGGCAGGTGCGTTTCATTTTCGTTTTCCAGATCAAACATGTAAAAAGGTCTTGTTGCTTTCTCCCACTCACTGCGCACCGCCGGCAGCCCTCACTCTCACGGTCAGGGGGTCAGGTTAGGGTATTCAGAGGGGGGACAGAGGCTCCTCTGCGTCTCAGAATGGCAGGGACACTTCTGAGCAGCACACTTGGCTGGCCAAGGAGACGCCTTACGTGGACTGCCACTTTCCAACGTGTGGCTCACTAGTGGTCATCCACCAGGCCCTCCCAGGGCAGTGACAATGGTTTCCCCGAGCCACCTTGTCAGACAGTTCCAGGCAAGGACGACTTGGCCCTGGGTGGGGGTGCTTCCCGGGGGCTCTGCCGGAGCGGGCAGGAAGGCTTCGGTCTCCACACCTGTGACGTGAGTGTGTGCCTTCAGAGCCTCCGGAAGTTCTTTCTGCGGAGAGTCTGTAACCCAGACTTCACGGAACAGAGAGGAGAGTCACAAGCACACTGCTGGCCTTTCTCGGGGACAGATCCAGAGTCCTCACGCTGGCTCTCCTCGCTCCTACCCAGGACGGAAACGCCACTGGGCCCTGGCGCCTGCCCTTCCTTCTCCCGAGCGCCCTCCCTCCTCTGGGGACTCAGGGTGGCTCTTCCTCCGCCACCAGCCCCGAGGCTCAGCCCTCTGCTCACCTTCTGAGGATGGCACCCCACAGGGGCCCCACTCGGTCCCTCCTCTCCACCAGCACGCTCAGGGACAGCTGGCCAGCATGGACGCTCCCTCCCTGCCTGCAACTTGTTATATACTTTTAAATCATCTTCCTGTGGGTGTGTCTTTTCTTCTCCTGCCTTGTGCCCTGGCTTTCCTGTCCAGCAAGGTCCGGTATGTCAGGGGTCAGGCCCGGGGAGGGCAACCCCTCCTCTGGGCAAGGCTGTGTGGGGTGACCCTGCAGAGCACCCTGTTCCTTCTGGGTCATTTGGCAAAGACAGTGTGGCATCCATGCAGTGAATGCCTTGGGTGGGTGGCGGTCTTCCTGAGGGACCCTCAGGCATGGAGGGCAGGGAAGGGCTGGGACACAGGGGCCCATGTGTGTGTGGTGTGGTGGTGATGGGTGGGCTCAACCTACCGTCCACGGTGACTTGGCAGGAGCACTCGGCCTGGCCAGCCCTGTTCTTGGCGACACACTTGTACAAGCCTCTGTCCTCGGGCAGGGCCTTCTCGATGGAGACGGAGCAGACAGGGCCTGGGGGCAGAAGAGAGACTTGGGTTGACCAGATGCAGGGCACCCAGGCCCTCCCCTGGAGGCACACAGATGGGTGTGGCTCACCCAGCAGCCTCTGGGAGCCCCAGAGACAGAGGCCCTGTGGGGATGAAGCCCCCTTTCCCACCAAAGCCAGGGCCCTTTCTGCTGATGGCCCATGGCCCCTTGTGTTCCTTCAGGGAGCCTTCTCAGGGGGACATGGTGGGGAGGCCCAGGAGCAGGGAGAGAGCCACGGATACCGTGGGGGAGCAGGACACAGGCTGGACAGAGGGAAGGAGCCAGACAGGTTACAGACTGTTTCAAACAGCGGCAGGTGGGAGGCTCTGCCCAGCCTGCTGCACACAACGCCTCTGGGACTACTTCTCGTAAACAGGAGGGCTGGAGCCCTTGTTCAGTGGGGGTGCTGCCTGTGGGAAGCTCTGGGAGGAGGCGATGGGGGTCTGAGCTGAAGAACCTGGACACACACAGGCACCGACCGGGTCTTCAGTGTGAGCCTCTGAGCCACTCAGTGAGGGCAGGGTGGGGGTGGGGGGGTTCTTTCCCCACAGACTCCCCGGTGAACCTTCTCTGGGCCGCAGCACAGCTGTTCTGGCTCGGCTGGAGGAAGAAGAGCCAGGCTGGGTGCCCATAGCCATCCGTGCTGCCCTTGGCCATGCCCAGCTCCTCATGCCAGGGCTGGCGACTTCTCTCTAAGGGGCGGGGGGTGGGGCAGGTTCCTGCCAGGTGTCAGGACCCTGCCTGCTAGGTCAAGCAGGAGGTCAGCAGTCTCCTAGTTCCTACCTTCAGATCCACCACCAAGCCCATACGTGGCACCCTGCCCCAGGCCACCCCGGGAACACCAAGAGGAGGGGCTCTCCAGAGGGTAGGGCCACAGGCACCCTGCTGACTATCCTGCTGATGGGAGCCACGGGCATCAGTCCACTTCTTCCCCCACCCCACCCCTCCTCACAAGAGCCCTGGGAGGTAGTGTACGCGTGGGGCAGCATGACAGGGATGCTGACAGGCCCATTCCCCACAGGGCCTCTGATCACTCACTACCACCTGACTCCCCCAGACAGGTCACAGGTCACAGGTCACAGACGGGACCACCCAATGCAGGTGATAGTCGGGAGAGGAAGGGTGCTCTTCGTTTGCTCTGCGGATCAGCCTCACCAGGAGAGAGACAGGAAAGCTACGACAGTGGCTTTTACTCTCTGCAACTCGGTGCTATGTTAGACACAGGAACCTGCACCCAATAAACCACCTGCGGGGCCGAGTGGCCCTGAGGCCCCATGCAGGACCCCACTCCGGGGGCACTGCGATCTCTTACGGACCCACCCCTGTGGGGTGACCTGGGAAGGCTGCACAGGAAGTGCAGGGGCAGTGAGCTCTTGCTAACGGAAGAGGAAGAGCTCAGGAGAGGCAGCCAAGGAGGGTTGTATGTGGAGGGGTGTCCTCCAGGCCACTGACGTGAACAGGCGGACACTACTGTGTCAGCACTAGCACCCTTGCTCCTTGGGGGAAGCCCCCCCGCCATGCTCCCTGTGTGAGTGGCGCTGGGCCGGGGCAGGGGAGCATCTGCAGGCTGTGGAGAAGGTCACCAGGAGTCCGACGGACCCTGCAGCAGTGAGTGGACGGGGTGTCAGGCCTTGGCCTGCCTTTCAGGCCGGTTGTCTCAAGAGGGAGAACTCAGGCCAAGGACAAGGGCCGTGGGATAAGCTCCTTCCAGAGAGAGTCTCCCTCCGTGGCAGTTACAGACCCTGTGTCAACCCGAGGGTATTAACAGTGAAGGGGTGGAGGCTAGCCTGTCAGTCAGCCTGACGATGCCTCCTTGTGGGCATGGCCTTCTCATGACCATTCTGGGAGCTTGCTCTCTTCCTCCCTGGAGGCAGGACACACATGCTCCCTGCTTCACGTGGAGCCACGCTGATGGCAGCCAGGGCCCTGGAGAGGCGCCCACTGCCATCCAACCCACAGGACTTTCGACCCACCGGCCTGTGATCTTTCTGCATTCAGCATCATTGCATGTGCTGAGTGAGTCTGAAGAGGAATTCATGGGCCAATATCGGACTCTGGGCTCACATTGGACTTATGGACTTGATCTGGACTGGCTGGGATATTTTACTGATGTGTAATTGCTTATTGCTATAAAGCTCTCTTCCCTATCTATGAGCATCGATGAATCTGATTCTCCAGTCAAGCTGGACTGACACACTGTCCATGTGAGAGGGCAGTGGGATGGTGAGATGATCTCTGTCCCTCAAACTCACTTAGCAGACACTGACCACCCCATCATGTGTGTGCCTGCTCCTCAGCTGGGCCCAGGACTCAGTAGAGACCCCCTCCCCCCTCCTAATAAACATCCTGTCCAAACCCGGTGTTTTCTTTCAGTTTGTCCCCAGCTGGCTTTTAGCCTTGGACCAACAGTGAGGAGAGCAATGAGGTTACTAGAGGAGGCCCATTTAGACCAAAGCCCCTCCCCTCCACACACCCCTCGCCAAGGGGCCAGGCAGCTTCCCACCTCCCCAACCCCCACCAAAACTAGGACCCCTGGCACAGGGCGTGGGCTGTGGGGAGGGCCACCAGGCAGCCTGGAGGCTCAGCCACCCCAGATGAAGCATCTGGCATTTCCTGTGGGATAGCTCATTCCTGACCTCTAGAAGACAAAACCCGTTTCCCAGGATTTTTTTTTAATGTTTTATTTTTCAAGAAGCCTCAGCTTGGTGGGGAATTTTGAGAGGGAGAGGACACTGGGGGATGGGAGAGGTCACACTAGAACCGGCAACCCAGTGAACAGCTCAGCTAGAACCTTCCAGGGCTGGAAGCCTCCCCTATCTCCCTTCTTTCCTGAGTGTGTGGGAAGGGGGTTGGGGAATGGGTGTGGTGGGGGGCAGTGACTTGAACCCCTAGAAGCTTGGAGGCAGCCCACTGACCTGGACCTCCGGGTTGTGCAGCTCCTCTCCAAGGCACCTCCCTGGGCAAGGTGCCTTCCTGTCCCCTCTCTATCCCCGGCCTCAGTGGTCTTCTGTGTGTCCCAGCCACCCTGAGCTAATCCTTCTTGAAGCGCTTCTCACAAGGCATGCTGTCTCCCACACTGGCTCTCTGGGGGCAGGGACCATGTCTGCTCCAAACGACTGCTTTCCCTGAGCCTGGAATGTAGTTGCAGTAGAATAAATATTTGCTATTCTGGGATTGACAACGGCCCACTTCGGTAGCAGGTGATCCAGTAGAATCCATGCAAGAAGAGGTCAGGAACCCTGACGGTAAACACAACGTCCTGATGGAAAAGATCATGTCGTTTCGAAATGGAGAAAGAATGTCTGGCTCACAAGGAACCCTGGTGTTGCTGTGGGTTGGGCATGGTGCTGCGAACCGCAAGGTGAGTGGTTCAAACCCACCAGTCAGCCCAGGGGAGCAACACGGGAGGCTGTCTACCCCCATGAAGACATAGTCTCTAACGCCCCACGGAAGGTCGTCATGAGCTGGGGTCAGTCTCAGGGCAAGGGACTTGGTGTTTGGGTTAGTTCTTCAAGGGGAGCATGTAGACCAGGGGTGGGGACCATCCAGGCCCATGACATCATCAACACCAGCTCATATCACACACCTCAACAAAGAGAGGCAGCTCCGGCCATTGCATGAGAGGTGAGTGAATGACATGTTTGGGATGATGTTATAAATAGCCAAATGGCCCTTGGGAGAGGAAAGGTTCCCCACCCCTGATGTAGATGAATAACAACTTGGCTAGGACAGTGCCTCCACAGTACATGCTGCCGCAGAGCCTTATGCTTTGGAAGATGAACTTATACTCGTTTGTGTGTGTGTGTGTGTGTGTGTATAAATAAATATCATTGACAAGATCCCAAACCAAAGGCCATTAAAAATGAATCGTCCGTTGACACCGTCGACAACAGCGATGCGTCCTCCTGATTAGAGTCTGAGCTGCTTGGCCATGGAGGGAAGGCTGGCTTGGAGACAGGAAATCAGGAGTAAAGACGAAAGGTCCTGGCAGGGAGGGTAACAGAATCCCAGCGCCCTGAGCCCCGTGGAGTTCTCCTTGTCTCTTGTAACACCTGCAGCCTTTCACCACATAGCTAAGGTGGAGGGGCCTGGGACACACACACAGCAGGGCTGTGTGGACAAGGTGCCTGTCTCCAGAGGGTGTGGCAGCCCCAGCCATGGCATCCAGAGTCCCATCTGCCTTACAGGTGTGTGTGTGGGTGGGTGGGGGAAGCGGGGCATGCAGGAACCGGTGCATGCCTCCAACATGTCTGCTTGCATGTCCAGGAACTGGCAATCAGTGCCGACTGACGGCAACCGCAGTCCATAGTTCCTCTCCGGCTCTCCTGGAGGCCCAGTGGGACGGATGTCCCCTATTCAGAGGGCCCTGGAGGCTGCAGTCTACAGGGAGCCCTGCCGGCACAGTGGTTACGCATTGGGCTGTTAGCCACCAGGTGAATAGTCAAAACCACTGGCCACTCTGCAGGAGAAAGATGAGAGGTTGTCTCCCCCCATAGAGAGTTATAGTTCTGGGAACCCGCAAGGGCGGTTCTATCCTGTCCTGTGGGTGGGAATCGGCTCGGGGGCAGTAAGTTTTTGATTTCTGCAGTCTACAGGCCATGCTCAGGCTATGGACATTAGCTAAGCACTGCAGAAACCTACGGACAGTCTCCACTAGCAAGAGGTGCCCCAAGAGACAGGCGATGGTGTGGAGGGAGGAGAGCATGCAGGTTTCTCTGGAGGAAGTGCATCTTGACCCGAGAACAGGAGATAGCATGGGGCTCCGAGGTGGATGCTCAGGAAGACACTCCACTCAGAGCAGGGGGATGGGGCAGGAAGGTGCTGGTAGGGTACTTTATCTTCTTCTATAAATCACTTAATTCCGTGTGTCCACCAAGGGCATCCCTGTGACCCCAGTTACCCGATGTTGACACACAGTGGTCTTCCACTTCGTCACCCTCTTTTCCCTCCCCATCACCTTCCGAGGTCCTTCTGAGGACAACCCTCTCCTTCCTTCTGGACCTGGCCATCTCCCCCTCTGTGTTCAGGGCTCCCTCGTAAGTCTGGGCCTCCTCACCTTTCCCCCGGCCTCTTCAGGAGCCCCTTACTGATCTCGAGAGTGCAGAGTTCATGAGGACCCCCAAACCCAGCTTTGTGTCCAGCACTGCTATTGTCCTCAGACACGAGTCCCGAGCACGACAGATGAGCTCAGGCCCCGCCTTCCTTCCCTCCTGCTGCTGGGCCTCTGCCTGCTGAGCCATGCCCGGCAGTCCCCTGCTGCCCTCCGCTCATCAAGGTCTGGCTCTCTCCCGATGGCCCGGCACACAGCCCTGACTTCGACTTGGGGGTAGGGGATGGGGGCGCTTGCTGGTCCTGACATCACCCGCCAGTGATTGGCCTGCACGGTCTTATCACTGTAAGCGTGTGTCCACCCAGACCTCTGGAGAGACGACTGGCTCTCCCCTCTCAGTCTGCCCCACGCCCTGCTTTGGGACCTGCGGAAGTGGCAGCCAGCCGGGCCTCAGGATGGGCTTTCTCCTGGGGTTGCTGCGAGAAGGCTTGGAGAGTAGTGAAGTGGTGGAGGAAGTGACAGACGGAAGGTTCTCACCTCGCGGCCGCTGAGTTCACTCCCCCTCAGTGACCGCCCCTCATAGGCTTGCCCAGACTGTCAAATCTTTATGGGAACAGAGACTGCATCTCTCTCCCACGGTGTGCCGGCTGCACCTGACCTGCGATCGATCTCTCAGTGAGCAGCCCAGCATCCTGACCCACAGCTCCGCCGTGGCTTCTTGGCTGGGAGGTAGGGCTGGTGTCTGGAGGCCAGGCACTCTCCTGCCATGTGGCAGGGAGGGAGAGGCCCGTCTCAGGGCCTGCTTCCTTCGTTCACTGAAAATAACAGACACTCGGCGAAGCAGGGGGCACCACTACCAGTCATCTAATCTTTGGACAACTGTTGGCAATGTTTAGGAATCGGTAGCCCTTAGCCTTTGCCTTTGATGAGCAAGGCCCTTTAGGAGCTTATCACTGAAGCTGCCACCAGCCTTCTGACACACCGCAGGGCACGCAGTGTTGAGTGCAGTTCTTCTAGCCGGAGTCTGTGTTCCCACTTCCACCAAGCAACCTTCTGCTGATGGGTTTGGGGAAGAGAAGGGGTGTGGGGAACACTGATAGGAGTCCGTGGTGAGTGACCGTTGACAGGGTTGAGGATGATGGCCAGCCACCCTGCCGGGTATAAACTGAACCATCTCAGAAGCAGGAAGGGGGCGAATCTCACAACCAGAAAGATAGAAGGGCCAGGAGTGGCATGTGCCCCCTGAAGCCTGGCACGTCTCAACGTAGGGAACCTCCTTGACCCAGGAGCCAGCGTTGGCGGCAGGGGAGCAGCAGCAAAATCAAGAGGCAGAACAGGAGACGGAGCGGTGAATTCCCCAGCCACAGGGCGAGGAAAGCTGAGTTTGCCTTCGGGCAGAGTCTGGCTTGTGAGAGCAGGTGCCCCAGGCACTTAATTGGAGGAGCTGGGTTTGCCGACCTACAGCGCTGGAGGTGAATGCCTTCAGGATGAGGCCTATGGTGAGTGGCATGCTCTTTGGGCATTTATTGGCAGCCCTAAAGGTTTAGTCACCTTGCCCGAGCAGGGCAATGGCCCACGGGCCATGTGGCAGAGGGGCCAAAGATCAGCAGAGGCTGCTTTGTTTGAACAATTATCTCCTGAACATCTGTAACCCGGTGGCTTCTGAAGACGCCCCAGAACCCTGAGTATTGCCTGTGGATAGTTTTGGGTGCCCTCACGATAAATTCTTGAACCCAGCTGAAAAGTAAGAGTGCGTGGGTGGCTGGGGTCCGACGGGAGGGCTGGAGGGTGGAAGCACGGGAGACCTCAGCCTCAGGAGTTTGCCGAGAGCAGTGCTGATGTAGAGTGAGAGTCAGACGTCACCCCCACGTGATTCTCTTTGACACGCACCACCCAGCATGCACTAAGACACACCAGGGCATAATAGTTCAGGTACTCTGTGTTCGAATCCCGGCCCTACTGCTGCTCACGGGCTGCGCATCTTTAAGGGTGCCACTCAACCTCTCCATTAAATGGTACAGATCGTACTTGCTGGACAGCCTAATGGAGCAAGATCGGCGAGATGCCTAAGACGGTGTCAGCCATGGAGCGCTCCACAGAACGCGTGCTACTGTCTTCAGAGTGAGATTTAAGAATAAGCCAGGCTCTCTTGGGGAGTGTGAATTGGGGCACCTCATGAAATCCCTCTCACCCCGCCCCCACCATGTTCTACATCCCATAATGGCCTTTTAATCATCATTTCTTTCTTTGGACCTAAACTGTCTCTTTGAGGGGCATCTCGTGGAGGGCACAGCCGGGGGAGCTGAGCCCTGGGGCCTTTCAAGCTCTGGGCAGAACAGAGCAGGCATGCTCAGGGACTTGGGGTCTGCCTGGGCGGCCGGGTCTCAGTCAGCTCAGGGTGCTCTGGAGAGCAGCGTGGATGGAGGGCTGCCCTCCATTACTTAGTTGAACAGGTTATGCTCCCATGACCACTTGTGGCTCTGGGTTTAACCCCCATGCAAGACCCCGAGTAGCAGCCTGGCCAGGGGCAGTGCCCTCCAGCCACCTCACAGGGCTGCAGCCACCATGGGCCTTAGCTGGTGCAGGATGGTGGAGCCCACCCACCATCCTCTCTGCAGAGACCCCGAGGGGAAACTTGGGAAATGCTTGTGAACCCACGTTTGGGGCCCATGTTACCAAGGACTCGCTCTTCAATTGGGAAGGCCCCATAAGGGGAGGCAGAGCAGACCCTGATGTCCACTTCCCTGGACCTCTCATGCTGTCTTGGTGACCCCCAGGCCCATCCCTGTGTGGACCTCAGAGGGGCTGAGCTGGCAGCCGCAGGGGGGTGGATGGGATGGCTAGCTAATCTGGGCGCACCCCAGGAGCAAGTTACTGTGTTGTCAGCACATTAGCAACAAGGGAAACATTTCCCCTCCCCCCTCCCCGCTTTCTCGATCCTGGCTAAGTTCCCCTTCACTCCAGCTGACAGCACGTAGATTCAAAAGGCTCGGCTGCTGTCCCTGCGCTCCCTGCTGTACTGAGTGAACAGAGACGTAGCTGTGAGCCGAGGGAGATGAGGGTCCCGAAGGCTCCAGAGCCTTATTCCAGCATTTCGGGAAGGGGGTGGGGTGGGGGGGCGGGAGGCGGCGGGTACATACACAGCAGGGAGGGGGGTGAGCCATTCTGGGGTCTCCGTTGGTTTGGATCTGACCAGGACCAGCCCACCGTGGGCAGAATGCCACTCCCGGGAGCTTCTTCGTACCCCACTCTCCTGAATCTCCAGGACCAGCGTCAAGCCCTGGCAGGACCCTATGCTGACCCGGATGAGCGAGCCCCCAGAGCCGGGTGTTGAAGTCTGCCCACCCTGCAAGCCCAGGGCTTGCAGAACTCCTCAAACCAAACGGAGGGTCCTCCAGGCCAGGTGCCCTCCCTGCCCCGCATGGCTCCCCCAGGTATAAACTCTCCCTCCAAGAACCCCAGACCCCCAAAGACCTCAGGCAGCAGGATCCAGAGCCCCCTCCTTCTTCCCACCAGCTAAGAATGTGAAATACCAACAAACAAAAGTCTCATCCAAATTAGGAAGCAAGCGCCGGGCCTGGGAGTGAGTGCCTGCCTGCCTGCCCGCCCGAGGAGGGACTGTTTGGGCTGGGCTGTTGGCTGTCCGGCTCGGTCTCGCCAAACCCACACATTTATCAAGACTTCACTTGCTGTTGCCCCTACATGACAGCCCATGCCTTCCTGCCCCCTTTCCCCCAACCTAGAATGCCACCATCGAGCAGCATTTAGCTCTGGCCGCAGCACCCCACAAACAGAGCCCTCCATACACAGCTGTCAGCATCACTCAGGTCCAGAGCTACCCACGCAGCGCAGCGGCCACCGTACAGGGGCTGTGACCTGGCTGCCAGACTGGGACAGGGCTCCCGTCCCCTATACTCCAGCAGTGGCCCTGTGGACAAGGGCAGAACAGAGCCAGGCATTCCTACCAGGCTGTGGGTTGTGGTAGCTGCTGACAAGCCAGCTCCCTGAGCAGACGGAGTCCCTCCCGTAGCCTGGCCCCACTGACCTTCTTGGGAGAGGAGGATGAACCGGGTAGTCTTGAGTGTCTTCCCATTCAGGGTCCAGGTGACGGTGGCTGGGGGCTCCGAGGACACCTGGCACTGGAGCAGCAGCTTCTCGCCCTCGGCCACATGGGCATCCTGGAGCTTCTCCTTAAAGGTGGGGGCTGACCCTGGGCTCTCTGATCTTTTTTCATGATCCAGGACCCCTTCGTGCCCCTTTTTGCAGTTCACATCGTTCTTAACCTCTTCCTCGAGTTCTTCTTTCCTGGCTGGTTTTGGGGTCTCAGAGGGTTTGGTGTTGCCCACAGCTCTTGGGGTCTCAATGGGCTTGGTGTTGCCCACTGGTTTCAGGGTCTCGGCAGGCTTGGCATTGCCCACAGGTTTCAGGATCTCAGATGGCTTGGCATTACCCACAGGTTTTGGGGGCTCAGCGGGCTTGGCATCGCCCATGGATTTCGGTGTCTCGGCAGGCTTGGCATTGCCTACAGGTTTCAGGATCTCAGATGGCTTGACATTGCCCATAGGTTTTGGGGCCTCGGCGGGCTTGGCATCGCCCATGGGTTTCGGTGTCTCGGCAGGCTTGGCATTGCCTACAGGTTTCAGGGTCTCAGAGGGCTTGGCGTTGCCTACAGGTTTCAGGGTCTCAGAGGGCTTGGCGTTGGCCACTGGCTTCAGGGTCTCAGAGGGCTTGGCATTGCCCACTGGCTTCAGGGTCTCAGAGGGCTTGGCATTGCCCACTGGCTTCAGGGTCTCAGAGGGCTTGGCATTGCCCATTGGTTTCAGGGTCTCAGAGGGCTTGGCGTTGCTCACTGGCTTCAGGGTCTCAGAGGGCTTGGTGTTGTCCACTGGTTTCAGGGTCTCAGAGGGCTTGGCATTGCTCACAGGTTTCGGGGCCTCGGCAGGTTTGGCATTGCCCACTGGTTTCAGGATCTCGGCGGGCTTGGCATTGCCCACAGGTTTCAGGATCTCGGCGGGCTTGGCATTGCCCACAGGCTTCAGGGTCTCGGCGGGCTTGGCATTGCCCACAGGTTTCAGGATCTCGGCGGGCTTGGCATTGCCCACAGGCTTCAGGGTCTCGGCAGGCTTGGCATTGCCCACCAGCCTTGGGCTCTCCACCCCCTTGGCATTTAAGGCTTCGGCACCACTGCTACCATTCTCTAACCTCTTCTTGCTGCCCAGCACTGAACGGAAATCCGGGGTGGCAGACTTTGGAGGAGGCACCTTCTCAGGCAAGGGGGTCTTGGGCGTCCCCTTCTTGGCCAAGACCGAGCGGAAGTCCACCTGTTGGGGGCTGTGCACTTTCCTCTCTTCCTCAGACACGGTCTTGGGCTTCACTTGCCGCTGCAGGTTGGCGCGGAAATCCATCTGCTCGGCCGGGATCTCCTTCAGGTCGTCTTCTAACAGTGTCCGGGTGCTCACCCTCTTCCCCAGGAGCTCCCGGAAGTCCAGCTGCTCCACCTCCTGCTGGCGGATGGCCTCCTCCGTGTGCTGCCGGGTCTCCACGCGCCTCTTCAGCAGCCCCCGCACGTTCTCGCCCTCGTCCTCCTCCGGCCAGCCCTGCCCGCTCCCTGGCCAGCCGGTCCTCAGGGTCCCATCTCGGTCACCAGCATCAGCACCGACTCCTCCACCACAGGGGCCCTCGAAGCTGGCCGGCTCCCTCGCCCTGCAACCAGTGAAGGAAAAAGGAAAGTAGCTGGAGGAAAGGGGCCGGGTAAGACAGACGTCAGGGGGAGCACATCCCTGGGGGGGGAGGCGGGAGGGGGTGGGGGCTGGCCAGGCTGTGTTTATAGAAGGGAGTGTTGATGAGAGGAGCTGCTTGCTTAGCTGGGTTGTTACATCGGCAATGACTTCAGTAGCCTTATAAGGGTGTGTACAAAAAAAAAAAAAACCCTCAACAACCCCCCCTTCCCTTCCCTTTTCCCTCCCTCATTCCCCTTCCAATCTCCCCCTCTTGGCTCCGGCAGCCTGTGGCTGCAGGCTACAAACAATCTGAGGCTTCGAGGCTGGCTTTGCAGGGACCGGGCAGAGGAAGGAGCGTGGCCAGAGAGAGGTGGTGGCTGAGAAGGAGGGTCACTCACCGTGGCGGGGCTCTGGCAGGGCCGGACTGTAACATCAGCGACACCTGGCAGCTGCATTCGCCAACGCGGTTTCTGGAGAAGTCAAGGGTCAGATAAGAAGAAGAAGCTCTCCAAGGGGCAAGGGGCCTGCTCAGTCTAGGACCAGCATGGACTCGGCCACAGGCCAGCAGTACACAGGGAGGATGGGTGTCACAGCTGTCTGTCCCAGACTCAGATTTGGGGCTCTCTCACCCTTGTGTTTTCTGAACTCTTGCTTTAACCACATCTGGATAGCAAGCAGCTTAGGAGGGCATAGCGGAGTGGAACTGCAGGGTCCTCTTTCCTGGACGAGTATGGGTTTGACAGGCACAGGATAAACGCAGCAGTGGATGGAGCCCGAGGGGCTGGGGGCGCCGCCCAGGCTGACCCTAGACTCTTCAAGGCCACTGTCCGCTCAGGAAATGACAATGACCTTGCTCCCATTGACCCCCTCTGAGGAGGCCCCGAGAGCAGAATCGTCTGGTTTAAAGACGGAAAGCGTGTCCCCTCACATGGGCAGCCCTTTCCTTCCGGGTGGGGAAGGCCCCTGATTCTTCTTATCTGTGAGCCCCCAACCCCAAGGGCTCCTGCTGGGGTGTGTGTGTGGGTGGGGTGGCTTTGTCCAAGACAGTCCCTCCAGCCCCACCAGGCTGCCACCTGGTGGCGAGTCTGAGTTCTGGCCGGTGGGTGGCGGGGAGCGGAGGGTGTCTTATTTCAGAGCTTCCGGACCCATTTTGCCCAGCGGGGCCGAGAGAGGCTTTGTGCTCTCAGAACCCCATCGAGGCAGTTCCACCCTGTCCTAAAAGGCTGCCATGAATCAGCACCGACTGGATGGCAGTGAGTTTGGTTTTCTGGAAAGAGAAGGAAAGGAAGGCTCTGGGGTCTCTCTGAAGCAGTGTTGGGGCAGTCTCTCAGCCACCCGCATCCTGGGCTCGGGCGTGTAGCGTGACTCAGAGTCAACCCCGGCTCCATGACAGTCCTGTGCGGGGTGTCTCACTTCACGACAGTGCTGAGACACGGCCCACTGCATTTTCATAGGTAAGGAAAATGACGCTTAGGGAGGTTACATAATCTGTTACAGTTTCGTGCTAACTAGTGCAGGACGGGGTTGGGACCCAAGTCTATGCACATCTGTGACCCTGTATAGGTTTTCTGAGGCTGTAAGTCTGTGTTGGGGCAGAAAGCCTCTTCTTTCTTCCTCAGAATGGTTGGTGGGTTTGAACTGCTGACCTTGTGGTTCGCAGCCCGACACTTAACCCCTCCCACCAGGGCCCCTTGTAAGAGACTGTTACAGTATGCTGTGAACATAAATGTGTGACTCAGTTTGTTGCGATCGTTCCCTTTTACAGTGGTCTGAAAAAAAGCCCACAGTATCTCCGAGGTTAGCTTGTCTCTGCTGTCAAGGTGGGAAGCACGGAGCTCCAGTCCAACCCACCCCCAGGCCTCACCCTGAGGTCCCCGGGACAGCCTGGGGGCAGGAGAATAAAGGTGCAACGCTTGCATACCAATTTGGCCGTTGGGTTGATTCTAACTCACAGTGACCCTACGGCAGCGTGGAGCTGTTCCTGGGGTTTCCAAGGCTGTAAATCTTTCCCGAAGCAGCTGACAGGGTTGGATCATCAACCTTCCACGCACTCAGTGACGACTGGCTTGAAAACCCGAACACGCCGCCGCCACGGCGTTGAACGTGACTCACGGCTCCTCAGGGTTTTCAGCCCGTGCATCTTCCCAGGAGCAGAGAGCCTCATCTAACTCCTCAAGTGTGGCTGGTGGACTTGAACCGCAGACCTTGCACTGAGCAGCCCAGCGCTCAACTCACTGTACCACCAACGCCCCTTTCATTAGGAGGTACAACTCCCAGAGCCATCAACATAAAATCGCTGCTGGGTCTTTGTGATGAGTTATGGGTTCCTCTGGAGCCCACAAAAGGCAGGGCGGCTTCCCTCCTGAGACCCGGTGGCAGATAAACGAACCCACGGGACCAGCTGCCTGGAGCCATCTTCGTCATCTGTCCTTGCCCTAGTTACAGATGAAGCCTGGTGCCCAGTCCAGGCGCTGCCTTGGGAAGTGGGAGACGCTGTCCTCTCACAGCCGAATGGGTTCCAGTTTGCCTCAGTGTCCCAAGCCCGATCTTTGATTATAAAGCCTTGGACCTTGTCCCTCTTAGAACCAGCCACCTTTGGAATGAATTTTTTTACCCAAAATTAGTTTCAATAACTCTTTTCCTGGCAAGTATCAATCTTTTACATGTTTCAGTTGGAATGTGACATTTCTCCTTTTGGAAACCGGAGCTGGGGAGAGGAGAAGTTAAAAAGTCCCCACTCATACCTTCCCCCAACGAGAGCAGGGACAGGACCTCTGACTCCTCCTGCCCCGCCCCTCTCTGGCTTCCTCCTTGAAAGGCATTGTGCAGTGCAAAGACTCCATCTTTCTCCTGTCAGCATGAGGAAAGTTGGAGGGGAACAAGGCCCCCGGCAGGCCTGGCACACACTCCCCAGGAGAATTTTCCGCTGACTGTTCCTTCTTAGCTGGGGACAAAGCCAAGGCTGGGGCAACAGCCTCCCAAAGGAATAAGGTTGCCGGACCTTGGAGAGGGGAAGGAGGCAAGCGCTGCGTGGGTGTTGGATTCCATATGATTTCCCAGGTTCCCAAGCTCCCCGTGTGTTTGAGAGAGATCCCCCGTGCCAGGCGGGGAACGGCAGGGCCCGGTACACGGGGGAGTGGACAGCTGGGCCTGGAGACTCTGCTCTGCAACGTGCTTTGCGGGTGGGTGGTCAGAGCAAGCCTGTGAGGCCGAGACCTTGGTTTCCCCCATGCTTACAGGAGGAGGCGACTAGATGGCTTCTAAAGTTCCGTCCAGCTGGGACAGTGCGAGTTTTATGACTGTCCCCCGGCTGGCCCCAGACAATCTGCCGGCTGGCCTCCTAGTGCATCGTGTCCCTCCCCAACCCCCGTTCTGTTTTGGTTCTCTTCCCATAGTCCTTTGCCTTGCTCTCCCCACACCCTTTCTTGCTCAGCCCATCCAGCATGCCCTCAACAGCCACACCTTTTTCCACCTGCCAATTCTCTGCCCTCGCCTTCCTCCTTCTCTATCAAATTCCCTCCAAGAACTTTTCTTTTCCAGGTAACCTAAAAAGACCCCAACAGTTTGAGAAAAGAGACAGTGGGGGGCTGTTAACCCCCCTGTATCCAGGGACTCACATCGAAGGGGGGTGGCAGAAGGGATAGAGTGGCAGTGCCAAGAGAACCGAAGCGTCAGAGATGGTCGGTTCCAGCCTGTTCTCGCTCTCAGACCACTTGCTCCAGGGGAAGCCAGCTCTCCTGTCTGGCAGATGCTGACGGTGCTGCGTGGCAGGGAACAGAGGCCTCGTGCCAGCAGCCATGGGAGTGGGCCATCTTGGCAGTGGAGCCTCCAGCCTTGGCCTTGGCTTCCCTGACTGATGCCCAGGTGACATTTGGAGTCTGTCCTCATTTCTGGCCCTGAGTTGAACTCACTCAGCTAAAGCTACTTCTATAAGCTCAACTCACAGGCGCTGAGATGACGAAGACGACGTTGTAGCTGCCAGGTGTTGGGGCACTTTGTTTATGCACCCATAGATAATGATAACTCCCTGACGTGGAGCTGATGCTGGCTTGTAGAGAGCGACCCTAGAGGACAGGATAGAACTGCCCCTGGGAGCTCCCCAGACCATCTGTCTCCGGAGGATCCGCTCGTGGTTTTGAACTGCTGCCCTTGTAGTCAGCAGCCCGGATAACCATGATGCTCCCATGGAGCCCATAGGCACCAATACCCTCCTTCTATTCCCTTGTTTTCCAATTTGAATCCATTCCTCCCCTCTTTGTATTTCCTATTCTCTCTATAAATGACGAACAACATCGAGCTGTAACAGGCATGGGGCGGCGGGGAGCTAGCTGGGAGGGGAGGTTCTCAGCAGGTACACGCTTGCTGCATTGAGTGAGAGGAAACGGGAGCACGCTGAGGGCACTGCCCAACCTTGACCCTGGAGCCCAAGCCCCACATTTGTGCTTCCCCTGGGTCCCCGGGCCCGGGCGGGTGAGCTGGGGAGTTGGCGCTGGGGCTAAGGGAGGTTGGGGGGCATGCGGACTCACTTGAGCAGGATCTCATACTGGCCTGCGTGCCAGGGCCGCACGTTCTTCAGGACCAGGGTAAACACGTCTTCATTCTGCAGCACCTCGAAGTGGCCGCTGTCTCTGGAGAGGGCTTTGCCATCCCGGAGCCAGTGTACGGAGGGAAAGGGGTCGCCTGCAATGGCGCAGGACACCAGGACGCTCTGGCCCAGCGTGGCGGTCACCGAGCGCGGCTTGCTGATGAACCAGGGCTGGGTGCCATCGTGAGGCTCTGGAAGTTGGCAAAGGGTAGAGTCAGAAGACCCTCTGGCAGTGGGCTATGAACGGAAAGGTCAACGGTTCGAACCGACCAGGAGGAAAAGACGTCGTGATCGGTCCCCATAAAGGCTGCAGCCCAGGAGACCCTTTAGGGCAGTTCTACTTGTGGCCACACGAGGTCGCCATCGGGTGGAATGGACGTCCCAACACCCAGCAATAGAGTCAGAGGGAGGTGCTCATTCATTCAATTTTCATGGTGATGGAAGCTTGGAAGATAGCAGGTTCCCGCATAATAAAACCCCCAGACCCATGGCCAGGGAGTTGATTGCAACCAGAGAGACTTTGTACAGGGCTGTGCATCTTCAGCTTTCTCCCAGGAAGCAGCTGGTGGCTTCCAACTGCTGACCCCAGGGTTAGCAGCAGCCCAATGCATAACAGGCTCACCTCAGAGTGCTCTCAGGCCAAGATTTTTCTCAGTGCTCATTCGACATAGCTTGCCAGGGAGAACCCAGGAGGAGCAGGGACTTACAGGAGGCAGAGAAGGGGGGCCCCACTCAGCCAGAGCACGTGGTTAATGAAGCTTAACCACATGGGGCTGGGAGGGCCTGGGGGAGCAGAGGGCCCACCATGTGAACAAAGCAGGGGCATCGGGCACCTTGCACGGTGAGCACGGCTTGGGTGCGGACCTCTCCAGCGCTGTTCCACGCCTCACAGGTGTAGGTGCCTGTGTCCTCTGGGAACACCTCCTGGATGCACAGGCTGTGCCGCGTGCCCTGCTGTTCAAAGTGGAAGTCCTCCGACTCCTGGATCTCCTTCCCGTTGTGGAGCCAGATGACCTCAGGGGGCGGCTGCCCTGCACCAGGGGAGGGGAGGAGGACGCGTGGGAAAGGGGCCGCCGGGAGGCAAGGCTGCACTCATGCCTGGCTGGATACCGCACTCCGTGCTCTCTGGGTGTCACCAGCTACCTCCACAGGTTGCCGAGCGGATTAAAAGCATTAACACCCCACCCCACCCCTTAGCAGCTCAGGGGCACAGAGAACACCTACGTGTGCTCACTGCCAGCGCCACGTTAGGACAGGCAGAGCTGGCCCCTGTGCGTTTCCCAGATTTGAACTCTTTAGGGGCCAGGCACCCCATCTTTCTTCTGAGGAGTGGCTGGTGGTTTTGAACAGCTCATCTTGCAGTGAGCAGCCCAATCCATGACCACTCTGCCACCAGGGCTCCCCCTGGCACACAGAAAGCAGCCGGGAATGTGAATGACAGTGATTACCCGTTTGGGGAACCGAGAGAGAACCGGGGTGTGAAAGATGTGGCCTCAGAGGTGAAGAGGACGCCCCACACAGAGAGACTTTTAAAATCATTCACGATGCTTGAGAATCCTCAGTGGTATTGCCAGCCGGCCTCAAGTGGAAAGAACTTCTCTTCCGCGAGGCCTCAGGAGACAGCCACCCTCCGGCCAATGCTCACCGTAAAGCAACAGCCAACCATGACTCCCAGACGACCACTGGACAACTGCAGAGCCCGGCAGAGAGAGGCCCGGGGTGAGTGGCCGTGCCCTGCAACGGTTGCAGAGGGAGGCTGCGCAGACACCAGGGGCCTGGAGGCCAGGTACAGAGCACCTCTGAGGATGCTGGGCCCCGTGGGCCGCCCAGTCGCTGCAGTGCCTGTTGCCTGCAGGCAGAGCGGGGAGGAGGCTGCAGCACCCTGTCTGGGACTCTGTCACAAGCCTGCCTCCAGCCAGCAGGAGGAAGGAGTTCCTCCCAAGATCCCCAAAAGGATATGCCCTCAGATCCTCCAACAACATATCTTTGTTGCTTCTGCAGCTGAGAGACCCTGATGCTAGAAAGGCAAGGCAGACGGATGACTGCGCTGGGAGGGCCCATGACCATTTGTACAATGAACAGCAATCCACAAGGACGCCCCAGCCACTAGGTCCACGCCAGGCTTCTCTCCATCACCCACTAGTAAGGACTGTGGCTGGGAGGCTATTTGCACATTGTGGTACGGCTGCCCCGGCTTTAGAAGGCCTCTCTGCTGCCTCTCCCCACTGGACCGTTTGGGCCGAACAACCGACAATATCTACCAAGAATCCAGGAGTTCTCCCGCAGCCTGGCTTTGCACTTGGTCTTCCAAACCTTCTGGCTACAGTGCCCACATCATGTTTTCCAATTAGTCCCTCTTCTAGCCAGCTATGGGTAGGCTCCACTACTGCACGGCTTACCCTTGACCCCAGAAAACCCACCCAAAGAAAGCCAAAAATCAGGGACTAGAGGCTAGGGAGTCCCTGGTGGTTTCTTGCCAACCTTCTGGCCGGTCAGTGACCTGAGGGGTTCCCTGGAGAACAACACCCACGTTAGGGCCACAGCCATGCCCTCCGAGATCAGTGGTGCAGAGACAGACCTGACACCTGCACGGTCATGGTGACCTGGCTTCCATCCATGACGTGGAGATCGGAGAGGCCCTGCAGGAAGATAGGCGCAACGGGCTGGCTGGAGGCCATGGGCAGAGGGCACTCCCTCTTCCGGTCACTCTTCTTTTCTGTGGGGTGGACGACAGAAGGGGGGTTGACCATCGGTTCCTTCATTCAGCCCCCACACACAGAGGCGCCATGACCGTGTGGCACGTGTGCTGTGTGCAGGAGGGTGACCGTACAGACACCAAGGTGGAGGCCCTGGAGTTCAGTGAGTGCCCCGGTGGTGCCACCGGTTAAGGTGCTTAGGCTGCCAACTAAAAGGCTGGAGCTCTGAATCGGCACAGGGGCACCTTGAAGAGAGACCTGGAGCTCTACAATTCTCCATCCCACTCCACCCCGCCCCCCAAAAGTGTATGGGCGCACATGAAGCTTATCAAATCTAATCCTTTAATGATGTGTAGTTTACTGAACACAGCACCTGGGCGTGGCGGTGGTGGGGGTGGGATTCTCTCTCCGAGGAAGCGAGAACACATGGAATTGAGGAGGTGGCTTGAAGCAGGACACAAATGAGACCAAGCTGCTGGCTGCAGGCTGGCCCATTCACTTCCCCGGAGCCCTTTGTGGGATGAATTAGCAGATAGCTTCCTGGGACTCTTGGGCACCACCCAAACGCTGGCTAGAACCTGCCTCACAGGCAGAGGGGAGGTGGTTGCGCCTGTGCTTTCTCTGCCCACCCAGGGCAGTCCTGGTGCAGAGCAAGCTCCCAGAGTGGCAGTCCTGGTGCAGAGCAAGCTCCCAGAGTGGCCGTCCTGGTGCAGAGCAAGCTCCCAGAGTGGCCGTCCTGGTGCAGAGCAAGCTCCCAGAGTGGCTGTCCTGGTGCAGAGCAAGCTCCCAGAGTGGCCGTCCTGGTGCAGAGCAAGCTCCCAGGGTGGCCTGGGCACTGGTCTTTCACTCTGTCCAGCCAGCCAACAGAGCCTTTTCAGCTTTGCTGTCGTTGCTGTTGGAAAGCCAGGGTGGCGTAGGGGTTACTCGCTGGGCTGCTAACTGCAAGGTCAGCAGTTTGAAATCCCCAGTCACTCTGCCGATGAAAGGGCTTTCGACTCCCGTAAAGAGTTAAGGCCTCAAAACTCACAGGGGCAGTTCCACCTGTCCTATGGGGTCACGCTGAGTCGGCATCGACTTGATGGCAGTGGGAGTAAGAAGGGCCGGGACACCTCTAACTTGTACCCTAACCTTTAGGGGAACAGGACTCTGGACTTCTGGGTTCCTTCTGACTTCTGTCAGCGCAGGGCCGCAGAACCCTGTACACCTGTGCATCTCACACCTGAACAGGGGCCGGCTCCCGTGTGACCCCCGCATCTCTATTTCCTGCCAACTAAAGACGCCTTCGCAGGGCTCCGGGAGGCCAGCCGCTGGGAGCGTGGCTGCAGGGAGGCCAGGCAGGCCCAGGCGCTGCAGGCCACTTCTCCAAAGCAGATGCAGTTGAGAAGGGTGGCAGCGGCCAGGCCGGGTGGCTCCCCTGGCACTCCCAGCCCCCACTGCTCCCCCTGCCCAGGACAGCCCCTTCCCCTGCTGGGCTGCCTTTGATGAAGGGCAGCCGAGGTGGCCTTGGCAGGGGCTACCTGCTTTGGGGCCTGTGTTGGTGACACACTGATCTGGTCCCCGCTGGGCCGGGAGAGCTGGCTGCCTCGGGAGGGCTGAGGAACTTTCTGTCTTGTGCAGAAAAGACAAAGTGTTTTCTCCTCTGCCGAGTGAGTACTCCCTGGTCCCCGCTCGCTGCTGTCCCAGCCTGAGTCCCAGGCAGCGTGGACACTCCGCCCAGATGAGCCATCCCAGGGGCCATCGGGAGCTCCCAGCACTCTCCTGTGAGGGATTGGACAAGCTCTTTCCTTCTGACCCCACTGCTCTCTCGGTTTCCTAGCCGGCCTGTGACCGGGGTTTGGCCAAACCCAGTCTCTGTGTACACGACCACTGGGGTGGAGTCTGACCTTCGCTCCTCTCAGAAGTGTTTCTCAAAAACAGCCTCCCACATCAGGCACTGCCTTTCCCTGAAGCTCAACACCCTCTTCAGTAAAGCAGGGAGTAATCATAGTAACACAGGGCTCTGGGGTATGGAAACTCTTTCTAAGACAATCCACTGACAGTGCCGGCGTTTGTATGAGGCTGCGGGTGGACCTACTCTCCCCGTCCACTTGGCCTCAATTGTCTGGTGGGCTTCTCAGCAACAAAGAGCAAAGGGAGACTTTTGTGCCTCTCACCCAAGGACTGCAGAGCCTTTTATATGGCCCGGGAGGAACACTGTCAGGAATACACACGCTGAGCAATAGCGGAGGCAACAAAGCTCCGCAGCAAACTGGAGCCTGTTGCCATTGAGCTGACCCCGGAGGATAGACCAGACCCGCCCCACAGGCTGTATGCTGTAAGGAAGCAGACGTCTGCTGAGCGCAGTTGCTGAGTTCAAACTACCGAGGTTTTGGTTAGCAGCTTCGCATGTAACCGTTGGGCCACAAGGGCTCTTTTGCTAAGAACCATGGTTGCTAAAAACGGCAACAACAACAAAAAAGACGCCGCTACCAAGTTTATTCTGGCTCATAGTGACCCTACCAGACAGAGTAGAACTGCCCCAGGGTTTCTGAGACGGTGACTTTTGTTGGGATGGAAAAAGCCTCATCTTTCTTCAGCAGAGACACGGACGGTTTCAAACTGCTGACCTTGCAGTTGGCAACCCAATGCACCACCCGCTCAGCCACCAGGGCTCCATCGGGTGCGCTATGTCGGCTTTGGCTCACAGCGACTGTGGGGCGACAGAATGAGATCATGTCAGGTCCGGGCCCTCCTCCCATGGCTGGTGTGTCTGAGCCATCCTCCCAGGCATTGTGTGCGCACCCCATGGGAGTCTTCCTCTGTTTCCCTGCTCTAGACCATGGGATATATCTCTACATCAATGGAGCACAAAGGACCACAGCACTCCCCATAGGCGGGAGATGGGGGAGGATGAGTTTGTGGGAACTGGTCCATTTCCTTCTGACACCACCTGTTATCTCTGCCCCGAGAGCCCTACGACAGGGACGTCGGGAAGCATGAGATGCCTGGGAGGGCCCAAGAAGACAAATCAGAGTAGACACGGTAATTTGAACATTTCCTTTTTCACAAAAACATGGATTCACTGTCAAGAGACTTCTGACCCAAATTGCCCCCACCAGCAGCTTTTTTTTCACAAGACAGACATTGCTCTTCCTTCCTTTCCTGGTGGACACGACGTTGCTACAGTTGACTTCCAAGAGGCGGCTGGGTAAGAGGTGTGCTCAGGGTCGTAGCCGCCCACCCGACTTGTTCAAACTGGATGGAGAAGAGCATGGGCCAGGATCGGAGGAAAGCTTATTAACCCTCGCGCGGGATGCAGTGGACACAACCTTGCTGTTTGACCAACCCGCTGAAGGGTGCCTCTGTGTGTGCTCATCTCAAAGAAGACACGCAGACATGACCAAAGAAGAGAATGACCATCACATGCAAATCAAAACTTACCACGGCCACTTAAACACAGTCGCGGTGGTGCATCAAGAAGGAGCTGTGGGAAATTCAAGATGGACTCAGGAAAGGACGAGGAAGAGGGAGGGACAGCCTAGCTGCTGGCAGAGGGAGCTTGGCTGAAAGCAGAGAATCCCAGACAGAGGTTTACTGCTGCCGTGTTGACTGTGCGAAGGCATCCAACCATGTGGGTCATCACGAGCTATGGACAGCCCTGAGCAGCACGAGCATTCCGGACACGTCGCTGTGCCCGAGCGGACCCTGCACGTGGACCACGGGGCGGCTGGGCGGACAGAACAAGGGCAGACTGCGCAGCTTGCAGTCACGAATGGTGTGAGTCAGGACTGTGTCCTCTCGCCATACTGAGTCAATCCGTATGCTGAGCAGATCGCTGAGAAGCTGCACTCTATGAAGGAGACTGAGGCCTTAGGTTGGAAGAAGGCTTCGGAGCAACCTGTGATGTGCAATCAATAACCCTGTTTGCGGAAAGGGAGGAAGATGGAAGCATTTGCTGATGAAGATCAGAGACTGCCGCCTTCAGGTTGGATGACAACTCAATGGGAAGAAAATAAACATCCTCACAATTGGACCAATAGACAACATCATGATAAATAGAGAAAAGACTGAAGGGGTCTTGGATTTTGTTTTATTTGGATTTGCAAGCAATGCTTACAGAAGCAGTAGCTAAGAAATCAAATGGCATATTGCATTGGGAAAACCTGCTGCACAAGATCTCGTTAAAGCGAGGGTGGGAACCTCTGGCCCCAGGGCCGTAGGAGGCCCTCAAATTCACCAATACCCGCTATCTCAGTACACCAATGCCACTTGGCTCACCAAAGAGAAGCAGTCCAGCCACCGTATTCACTCAAAAAACCACTGCCACCGAGTCCATGCCCACTGCCAGCGATCCTGTAGGACAGGGTCGAACTGCCCCTGTGGGTTTCTGAGACTGCAACTCTTTACAGGAGGAGTAGCTCCACCTCCCCCCGACAGGAACGGCTGGTGGTTTTGAACGGCTGATCTTGCAGTTAGCAACCCAGCCCCCGCCTGGGCTTGCAGCCATCACGTTGGGGCTGAGTTAATTAAATGTTGAGCCTATATGGCCCGTCAATGCTGTTAAGCATCTCTGAATGGCCACTGGCAGGAAGATTTAAAAAAAAGGATTCCCCATCCCTGCTTTAAAGTATTAAAGAGCAACGGCCTCACTTGGAGGCCCAAGGGGGGCCTGATTCAAAGCGCGGTATTGTCAATCGTCTCATGGCGTGTGGAGGTCCGACAGTGGATTAGGGTGTGGGTGAAGAACCCTGGACTACCATGGACTGCTGGAAGAACAGACAGGAGGACGCCCGGGAGACTGGAGAGACTCCATCTCACGGACTTGGGCCGTGCTGTCAAGGGGACCAGCCGCTGGAAAAGGACGTCGTACTTGTGAAAGTGGTGGGGAGCCGGGATGAGAGCGAGGGACACAGTCGCTGTAACAATGGGCTCAAATACAACAGTGACAGTGAGGGTGGTGAGGGTGGCACAGGACCGGGCAGTGTCTCCTTCTGTTGGACAGACAGGGTTGCTGTGAGTCGGAAGCTGACACCTGACAACC